TTTGGGTCCTGGGGTTCTTGTGTGAGTAAATGTTTCTTCCCGTGTACCTTTTGGGCCACTACCCACTTACAACAAACTTCTACGGGGGATAATGGTCTGCCACCATGTTTGGGAGGGAATCCCCCCCAAAATGGGAACCCCCCCGCGCATAAAAAAGCAGTATTTCAACTATGTACGCATCTATTGTGTTCAAGCAACTTGTTAAGTTAATTGATATAATATATAAAAAATGTTATTCAGGCCTTGGGGACAAGCTGGTGAAACCACAGTTGAGCCCATTTTTAGGCAGGTGTATTTTCACTTTTTTTTTTTTTTTTTTCAGGTTTGGGTCAACACAATAAGCCAAATGTTTGCTGGCTTTTGAAGTTCCCACAATTATCCAAAACTTTAAAAAAAAGGTTGCAACAAGTATGTCAATGGTTTGTGTTTTCATTAATTGATTGTCTTGCTTGCCTCCTTAATGGCCAAATTAAAATTCAATTCAATTATCAATTTTTATTTTGGTATAGGCGCATTATAACCAGGAAGTTAAATTCTCAGGACACTTTTGCAAATAGGAGGCAGGTCTAGACGATAACTTCCCTTATAAACATTTACCAGAGACCCAACCAGTACCAACCCATGGGGAGGCAAGCCCCACTTTTGGCGACGAATAAATCAAGTTATATCGGGGTAAGGTTTAAGTGGGAAGTTTCGGTTAAAAACTGTGAAGCAAAGATAAATTAAATGTTAGGAAAGAGTATATGAAAGGGCTAAATTTTACAAATTTTTAGATTATGGCTTTCTGATTTTCTGAACACCAAAACAAGAATAAAAATTATTTTAAAAAAAAAAAGTCTTTTTGCAAGAAGAATTAGTTAGGCTTTACCTTGGATTGTTTATGTTATTGGCCAAACCATTTTCTTTGAACAGGTTTTTTTTTTTTCTACTGATTTATTTTAACCAGGGGGACAGAGTGCATATTATTAAAATCCTTTGGGAAACCAAAAACCAGGAGGGATTTTCATGTTCCAGGAATTATGCACATTATTAAGGACCAAACATTGCTGGAAGTATAGGACACTAAAGATCAAACGCAGGAATCTTCTTTCTTTTTACACTTTTAATTCATATAAATTCACCAGCAAAACATTAACTTAATAATCTTTTTTTACTATCAGCTTGTTAAGCTGCAGCTATTCGGCCTGTTTCATTTTGTCGGACAATCAATTCCTTTGTTTCGTTTCCCCCCTTCAGATGTCAAAAAATCCCCTTCGCCGTCCTCTTCTGGGACAAGTGAAACAACGGACCATTGTGGGCCGGACATTTTTGGCGCTGTCAATCCCCAGAAACAAAGGGGCGGATCGCCTTTCCCCCCCATTCCCCACCCTCCACCGGAACCCCAAAGCCAAGTTTTTAACCTCAAGCCAAAACGCAACCATTTTTTTCCCCCTTTAAAAAACCTGGATTTGGGGATTGGGGAAGTGGAAAAGCCCCCTTTTTTTCATATCGCAAGGAGAGCTGGACTGTCCAAGCTCAACACCTAACATTTCAGGCTCCGGGCTCATGTTAAACCTTGTAGGTGGTGGATCCCAGGGCGGTGGATCGGATAAAAGGGGCCCTGGGACCCAAAAACCCGTGGTTACCCGGGACCCAGGGGGCCCTGGTCCACCCCAGCTGGGATGAGGCCACCAACAGGGTTAAGGAATACGATTGGTTAAGTTCCAGACTTAAAAGGGGAACCAGTTCACCCCCAATCAACCCTAACCTGTAGTGGCTATTTATCCACTTTTCCATTCTGTTTTGGTGTTTGGTTTTAGAGGATAAAAACAGCACTAAAACGTCAATTTGTAAAAAAGATTAAACGCAACATTTGGTTAAGCACCCAAAAAAACCTTGTCTTGTTTTGGCAGGGGCCCAGGGAGAGGTTCGATTTGTACTTTTGCGAAGTTGGAGCTTGCTCTCGTTGGCTTTCAACTCATTGCAACAGAAATGGGGGGCAGCTCCCAACCCTGTGGCACAACGGATTTCTTTCTAATTACACCCCAAAAACCAGGTTTCCACTAAAAAACGTATGTTTGTGAAAGCCTAGTTTTAAGTTTTTTAAAGTGTTTGATCTGAGGGTTTGGGTGAGTTTGAGCTGGACGGAGCTTTCACTTTTGAGAATGAGGCGTCAAATCACAAGGTTAGCCCCGCCTTCGCCCTAAAGCATACCCTGCTTTATGGTCTGTTTTACTCTAAATGGGACCATCATTTACTAAATGGACATCATGTTGTATGGAAGAAGACTTGGGACTACAGATTGAGACCATAAACTCATTTTGGAAACTTTACTTTACTGAGCTCATAAATCAAGTCAGAACTGGGGTCATTTCTCCATAAGACTGCATGGTATCAGTGGTTTATTGCAACTTGAGCTGCCCCCTGCTGGCCATTAGAAAGACTGCATGTTAAGGACATTTAACTTGGAAGCTCTGTCTACTATAAAAAACTGTCTATGATGTAAACATTAATGGTGGCCTCCTCAGCTGAGGTGTAACGTTAGTTAACTCAAAAATGCAACCTTCCTTCTGCACGGTGATACGGTTAGCAGCATAAAATGTCCAATTATTCATTAAAAGTTAAAAGAACATTTTGTACCCAGGTCCACATTCATACATTTTACTGAAGCACAGACCTAAATCAACAATCTTCCCTGTGTGTAGTGAAAGCTCCTGCACTGGCGTCTGCTGTCCCCATACTGGTTTCCACCAAGTCAACTGGCCTGAACGTCAACCTGGTTCCTTCGGACACAGAGGAGGACAACACTGAGGATGAGGCCTCCACTGCCTCCACCCCTCAACCCGCCCACGAAACACCCAGCGTGGCCAAAACTCCCTCCCCTGTCAACCCTGCCCTGCCAGCTGACAGTGAGGCACAGACCGGGCTTGCAGCAAGTACGTTTATTTAAATAACTGCTAGTACATAATTTTTTAGAGAATAATTTTACCAGAAGGTCACTTGTTCAAGCCCCACCAGAGGAAGTACGTGCAATAACAGCAGTGTATCCTGTTAAAGTGTAAAATAATGGGGTTATAGCAGCTGCCAGATGAACCAGATAAGAGCTGATTTCCTAAAATGTAAATGTGATGTAGATCTTTAAAGAAGCACTGTCATTGTATCGAACGAGCAGAATGAGTCACTCTATTGTGCTTCATCGTTTGAATTCTGATTTACATGCTCACTGGCGTGGTCGGCTCAGTTTTTCTTGTATCATTTGAATTATTTATAGAGCTACAAAACACACGTTGGTAACATGTTAAATAATAAATAGCTCAAGTAAATTGCTATTAATAACCTGTTTGTGTCAACTTGATATCGGATTAAAGGCTGTTCAACAATAGAGCAATAAAAAAAAGGGTTTCTGGCTAAATTATATACAGCAGCCATAATGCATGAAAGCACTTTGACCCTGTTGTTAGAGCAGGGTTTCAAACGTTTACTACCTCTGCTTGTTTGTTACTCATACCTGTAAAAAGTATATTATCTGTACCGGATACTGGCTCCAGTCGAGTACTCGCTCAACCTTACTGTGAACACAAATATTCAGGAGCAGGCTCACTGAGGCAGGAACTCACTACTACCAACATCATGCATTCAGTTAATGCTAAACAGTGTTATTGTACATCACAAATTTAGCTATCAAACCACTAAACCAAGCAGAACAAGCATAAAATGAGACTATAAATGATTATTCCTTAATAGAAATGTCAAGAAGGATCTATTATCAGTGTATTAACTTCCTGCTGCTGTTTATTCTCCAGGTGGAAAGCAAACAGTGACACTGACGGGCCAAGCTACAGTGGAAGTAGTTGCTAAGAGGGCTGCTGGAAATAAACCCTCCGACGATGACTGTGTCATATATCGTTATGGCTCCTTCTGCACTGGCATTGAAGTGTTTGGTGAGTTCACCCCTTCATCAGTGCCACGTTTGTTGAGCTGAAAATGAAAACCTCTGAGGTGATAAGTGACTGTTCTGTTCTTCTTGTCTTTGTTTTCAGAGGGAATTGAGAAAGTAGAGATTGTACAAATGGACAACGCCGTGGTGGCGGCGCCTGAGATGGACAAAAATGTTTTGGACATCACTGTTACCTGCCAGGGAAGGTGAATACACCTGCACTTTATCAAATAATACAACACTTTGTTTCTTTTACAAGCATTTTATTGTCTATTTTGACCCACTGGAAAAAAACTTTAATTAATATCCTGGGCTGTTATTTGCTGAACTCAACCTGCCTGTATTGAAACAGGCGTCTATATAGGACATGCCTTTAATTCCTTTTGCACTGTTGCAAAGATGGAATTATGATCAGATTGTTTATTTAAGCCTGTATGAATATTACTTGTATAAAAATGTAGGATATCAAATAACATGTGGATTATGATGGTTTCTGTAAAGTCAACTTAAGGGTTGAACTGTGGAGAATCTAACTGATCTACAATGTGTAGCATGTCCCCGTTGTCGTTTCCTCTTCCACTCCACTCTGTCTTTCAGAGGCTGTAGTGGGCTCTGTTTTAAAGCTAGATATTGGTACCATATGAAGGATCCATTGTTACGACCATGCCATGCTAGCATGTTGGGAGCTAAATAATGCTCCAAATTGAGGCTACATTTTGGCAAATTTCAAAAGGGATTGACCTCTGACCTCAAGATATCTGAATGAAAATGGCTTCCAAGGGTTCTGACAAGTCTCCCCTTTGCTGACATGCCCAATTTATGCTAATCACATGCAGTGTTGGGGCAAAAACCATGTATATGCATGTGTAGCATATTGACAAAAATTTTAACATTTATATTTATGTAGACAATAAGAGGTTTTATACATCCAAAGAATTTCTATAAAATCCAGACCAGGACTCTAATTGAGACCTGGGTCTATTTGGGACAGTGCTTTTAAGACTTAATTATCTGTTGTGTTCTTTGTGTGTGTAGCATGAAGAGACCACAACTTCCTTTTCATTGTGCAACCTTGTGTTATATAATGAAGTAAACTACCTTGTATTGTCTCTCTCCAGCCTTCCGAAAGAGGTATGCAGCGTGATTCTGGATGCAGAGTGCTTGAGGCCGATTCACACGGCGTGCAATATGGTGGAGCCCTCCAAAGAGTGCCAGCTGGTGTTGCGTCACTTCTTCAACGACTCTGGCATCTACTGCATCAACGTGTCCATGGCCAATGACGTCAGTTTAGCTGCAGCCAGTGCCAAAGTCAGCGTCGACATGGGTACGCATCACAACTACCACACGACGGTCCATACATTTCAGTGTTTGGTTGGACAATGCAGCACATTTCTGCTTTATCCTGCTCACCCATAATGTGATCTTTGTTACAGGGTCAGGCCTGTCCTCTCTTGGCACCGTCGGCATGGTGTTGGGTGTCTTGGTACTCGTCCTAGCAGTAGGAATAGTGGCATATTCTTACAAGTAAGAGCTGATTTTTTTGTAATTATACACAATCTCATTTATTTACTTTAAGGGATAACTTTGATTACATTGTATGTTTGCCAACAAAGACCCAGATCCATGCACTATATCACAGGCATGACTAACTCTCTCACAGACAGGCATGTGCAAATAAGCAGTCCTAATCACTGGCAGTATGCAAAACACCTGTGTTCACTCTGATGGCAGAAGCTCCACCTCTTGGGAAATAAACAAATAGAAGAAATACTTGTGACAACACAGAAAAAAGGGCGTGGAATACAGTGAATATAGGAAAAACATAAAAACAGGAAGCACCTTAGCTGCGTTCCCAAAAACTATTAAAAACACCACCCTGCTGCTGAATACGCACTAGAGCTCCAAGTGTGTATTAATCCGCAGCTGAAACTAGTCCTCAACAAACACAAACCGAGTGGCCATTTGTTATGTTAATAATGGATCAAATTTGAAAGGTGTCGTATTGATGAATCCACAGAAAACTCTGCAGTTCCTCTTAATTCTACAGAGTTTTTCTAAAAATCTTAAATATATGTATAACTAAGGACATGACCACTTTCAGCCATCACAGGCGGCTGTTTTCATTCAACCCACTTTAGCTCCACGTCAGCCCATTTCTGCATCAGCCAAGAGCCGGCTGAGTCAGGACTGCCAAGATGGCGCACACACTGATCACTTTATAGAAATCTATGACGTCATGGAGACTGTCTATTTTTAATTAGATGCTCTCATACCGTAATTTCCGTACTCAGCAAGCAGCTGTTTTAGGTAAAAACCTACACTAAGTTAGCAGCTAGATGCTTTTTAACATTTAGCAGAAAATGACACAGGAAGTGCTAGAGACCAAAATAAAGCTAAAAAGAGTGTGAATATTGGTTTTACATCCTTAAAGTGGCCAGAAACACAACTTTAAGAGAATATTAATGTTGCTCCATGTCTGCTTGATGTCTCAATAGGCAGCAAACTCTCACTATAACAGCTTAATAGGTGATAATAGATCAGTTTTGTGTTCACAGCTTGTTTCCATTTAATGCACATTTGAAAATTAAAGTATATATTTGTGGCATGTTTTTACATTCGTACGTTATCTGTAAAGCACATCTGGTTCAAACAACCTTTCTGGATTTTGTGTTTTACTCAACAGGCGCTTTAAGTCCTATCGTCCTCTGAAGGAGGACCTGATTGTGTCTGCCAGCCCGCAGCCCGACCGGGTTCACAGCTGCTCTGGCGCCTCGATGTTCTGGAGTCTCCTGAACAGACGGGGAGCTGTGGACAACTGCCCTTTGCTGCAGGACAGACCGGTGTAAACCATCACCAGCAAAACAAAGCAACTTATGATTGATTGAAGTTATAGACACCTGGGAGGTCTTTTTATACTTTTTTTTTTTTTTACATATTTTCTAAATGACAAATTCATGAGTGTAATATTTGGGTTCTCAATCAAATTTCCTGGAATTACTATTATTAGATATGCTCTGATCTTTTGTACCTACTTGAAGCAAGTTTGGTGGTAAAAATGTGTGCTTTTATTTGGACAAAACTGACTTTGAGTGTTTTTCCAATAAACTTTGGTCAAAACAGATTTGCTTTACTGTGATTTATGACACTAAAAGATAAGATAGACTCTCTAATCGCACCCAATCTCATCCATATTTTAAAAAACTAACAACCAGAAAGACTCCCATTCCTCCAGTAAATAAATGCTCTATTGTAATCACAGGCTTGATATTATAACATTCAAACATTTTGCTGAAAATAATCCTCATAAATCATGTTAGAGCTTCACATAGTAAGCAAATATACAGCTTCAGAGTTCAGTTAAGACATTAACATTGTCTTTTGTAATTTTTCATACATTAAACCAATATTAATCGGAAGTCCTGCAGAAAGCAGTAAATGGAAACAGAAAAACAGCATTGGACTACAGTTGAGGACCCATCTAGTATCAACATGCTAAGTTTAACTAGGTGTTATATATGAGTCTACAACTTGATTACATGGGACAGCTAAACATTTTAGAATTTCAACATTTCGTAGGACTATGCACTCAATATATATTTAGGTTGAATTAAAAACAGACAAAAAAATTCACATGTCACAGGAATTTTATTTAGAACAGAGCCAAACTGGTAACTGATAGACAAACATTTCTGTTTAGAATGCATTCAAGAACACATTGCAAATCAATTATTTCCTGTTTATTTAACGCCTTTATGTTCCTTTTAATATTCCTCTCCTTCCTCCTCTCCCTCACCCTCAATGGAGTCAACTCCAACCTCCTCATAATCCTTC